AGGTGGTATTGAACTGGGTACTGGTGGCTCATGCCTGTAATCCTAGCTACTCAGGAGGCTGAGATCTGAAGATCGTGGTTCAAAGACAGCATAGGCAATAAAGTCTGTGAGACTCTTACCTCCAATAAACTACTAGAAAACTGGAAGTGGTATTTTGGCTCAAGTGGTACAGCACTAGTCTTGAGCTGAAGAGCTGAGGGACAGTGCCCAGGCCGAGTTCAAGCCCCATGACTGACAAAAAAAAAAAAAAAAGGTGGTATTATATCTTTTGCATCCATGTTCTTCCTTAATGAGCTTGTATAATGATTTTAGGATGCTAGTTCAGATTAGTGTTCCTGCCATTGAAATTTAGCTTCCAGTAGCTGTTAGGATATTGAGCAAGTTACTCTGTCTCTGTTGTATATAAAATGTGGTGGACATGGTACCTACCAGTCATATGTATATATGTAAAAGTAAATTTACTTCACTTAGTTTAAGTCTTAATGTGCCTCTTGGCACTATCTAGAATCTTCTTTGAAAGATCAAATGTCAGAACTAACCATTTTTTCATCTATTGCATTCTTCTTATCTTTCTTATCCTGCTATCTCTTCACACTGCTAACTGAGGTTCCCAAATGCACAAAACTATTTAATGTCAGCAGAGCAGATGGTCAGATCTCTCTAGTCCTTATCAATGACCAACTTCTTCCTCTGTCTTAGTTGACAGTGTCTTTTAACTCTCATCTCTTAGGTTCTAAGGAAAGGTCTGATATTTGGTGATTTTAGAATCTGAGAAAAAGTGCTAAGATTCTTTGTGAAATCCTTGAAAAAGATTCATACAAGTGTTAGAAATGTATGAACGCCATTTCAAAATGAATTCAATTTTGCATATGATCAAATTTCATTTTTAAAGAGGAGCAGAGTGGGAGAGCTGTCTTTTCCAAGGTTTGTATAGGCTTTTAGCAGACCACATTATATATCATACAAGATATCTAACACAATATTAAGAGGTTCAAGAGGTGCTATTTTCTAATGAATTATAGAAGCAATATAGTGATAAAGTTGTCATGAAGAATTAGTGTTTTTCATCATTCTGCATACAATAACTCAATTTACAAAACAACTTTTATAGCCTGACATACTAGGGATTCCAAAATACTTATCATAAAAAATTGCTTCAGATAATAATCCTTAAGAAACTGAGCATAGGCGGCTCACACCTGTAATCCTAACTACTCAGAAAGCTGAGACTTAGAGGATCATGACTTGAAGCCAGTGTGGGCAGAAGGGTCTGGAAGAGACTCCATCCCCAAATAACCAGCAAAAAAGCTGAGCTGGAGGTGTGGGTCATATGGTAGAGAACCAGCTGTGGGCAAGAAATTAGAGCTAAAGATCAAAGCTCTGAATTCAAACTCAAGAACCAGCATATTTACACACAAAAAAATGCTTAATGGTAGAGGACACAAAAATTGTTACATTTCTGAGGTTCTTCCCAGTTCGACCTCATTACACAAGATGGAAGCCATAATTAAAAAAAATCTCAAGGGCTGGGAAGGTGGCTCAGTGGTAGAGCGCTTGCCTTGCATGCATGAGGACCTGAATTCAATTCCCCAGCACCACATAAGTAAAAAGAAAAAAAGCCGGAAGTGGCGCTGTGGCTCAAGTGGTAGAGCGCTAGCCTTGAGCTGAAGAGCTGAGGGACAGCGCCCAGGTCCAGAGTTCAGGCCCCAGGACCGGACCCCCCCCCCAAAAAAAACTCAAATATTACAAGTATGGATGTTTCCATACACCTGATCTATATGAACTTTAAGACACCACTCACCTGAATACATAGATCAGCAGAAGATCATTAACTCTAATAAGAAGAGAACTATCACTACTCATCTTAGTGCCTGAAACTTAATATAGAATTTTATTTTATTTTATTTTTTTAATATAGAATCTTAATATAGAAACTTAATATAGAATCACACTGTGAGAGTCAATTAACAACATCTCTCTTTCTCTTCCTCCCTCACTTCCTTCTCTCTTTTTTTTTTTTTTTCTCTTGACAATCCTGGGGCTTGAACTCGAGGTCTGGGCACTGTCCCTGAGCTTCTTTTGCTTAAAGCTACTGCTCTACCACTTGAGCCACAGCACCACTTCTGGCCTTTTCTGAGTAGTTTATTAGAGAAGAGTCTCAAGGACTTTCTTGCCCAGGCTGGCTTTAGATAACAGTCCCATAGATTTGTCTGCTCAGGCTGGTTTCAAACCTCTATTCTCAGATTTCATCCTTCTGAGTAGTTAGCATTATAGGCATAAGCTACTGACACCCACTTATGTAACACTTTTAATAAGACATTTGAAATTTACTCTTTTGAAATATACATTGTATTGCCTGTACTTAGTGACGCTGCTGTGCACCAGATCTCTAACCCAATCTCTGCCATGCGCCTGAGGCATGACCAACAACTCCCCACCCCTTCCCATCATTCTGCTTACACGGGATCAACCCTTTTAGATTCTACACAGAAGCGAGATTATGTGGTTTTTGCTTTTCAACGCCTGGCTTATTTCACCTACCATAAGGTCCTATAGGTGTATGTCACAAATGACAGAATAACATGAACTTGAATAGAGGACATTTACATGACACCCTTGTGTCTACATTCCACATCCATCCACTGATGAATACACCTTGGCTACTACAAATAATGTGCAATGGACACACTACAGGGCTACTAGTATGATTGCTTGTCTATAAGATGTACATGTAGACTAATGGTAAGAAAAAAGGTAGAGTTGGGAGTGTGGTTCAAACAGTAGGGTATCTTCAAGGCTGTGAATTCAACCCTAGCAGAAAGGAATTGGAAGGAAGGAAGGAAGGAAGGGAGGGAGGGAGGGAGGGAGAGGGAAAGGGGGAGGGGGAAAAAAAGGAAGAGAAAAAGCAAATAGTCCACGAGTATCTTAGATCATGAAGCATCTTAAAGTCTTGGCAGAGGGCACCTGTGTTTTAGGACAGGCCATGAAAAGCCACTATCAACTCTGGGGCGAAGGATATATTATGGTGCCATGGTAACAACTTTGCTGTGGAGTTGGAAGATCTATTTAGGCTTGAATTTCAGCTGCTCTGTTATTATCTCTATGATAATACCTAGTTGTATAACTTTGCCATGTTTCTAAGGCTCTTATCCATAAAACAGAGATAAAAATAGTGTCTGTCTCACTGTCTTTGCAAATGCATACAACTTGTTAAGCAGACTCTCCTCTAGTAGCCAGTCATCTCGATCATGCCAGCTGTTAGAAAGACCTGTTTTGTGTAACTGGAGCTAAAGATTGCCTTGAGGGAGCCCTAGATCAAGAGTTTAAATCCCGGGTTCTAGTTTTGCTTCTGCAATTTGGTGCTCCAGTCACTTTTAACATCTGTAACATGGTGAAAACACTGTCCACGGACCCCTTTCTCAGGGAAGAATGTCCGGTGAATGATTAAGTACAAAAAAATAGGTATTATTTTATAAGTCATTCTTCCCTCTTAGATTTCCATTATTACAATGTGGGGATTGGGGTGGGAGTTACTTCTGGCCACTTTTTGCCACTCATAAAGAGTAAGAAATGTGAACGTAAGTTGGCATTGCCAGAAGGCAAAGGAAAGACAGAGACCCTGGAAGAACATGTAGCCAATGAATCAGCACAGCTAACAAAGCTCTTCCAAGATTTCAGCCCAAACCGGTAGCAAACAGCAATGGTACGCTTCTGTGCATACAAGTGTCTATGTACAACTAGAAGAAATGATGAATGACTTAGGAATTTGTTATCCTTTCCTGACAGTATCAATACAACATTTTAGATACCCAACAACTCTATACCACAAAAACTGGGCTTACTGAGATATTGGTTATATTATTGCTTAATGTAATAGTGATATATGAAAGATGTTTATTTCCTTTAAAAAAATCTTTGGGAATACAAAACACTTAAAAGTCACATTTCTGAAATAAAAACAAATCAAGCCAGTGCCAGGTGCCCATGCCTGTAATCCTAACTATTCAGGAGGCTGAGATCTGAGGATCACAATTCAAAGCCAGCATGGGCAGGAAAAGTCTGTGTTACTCTTATCTCCAACCAAAAAGTGGGAAGTGGAGCTGTGGCTCAAGTGGTAGAGCACTAGTGTTGAGTAGAAAAACTACCCAGGCCCCGAGTTCAATCCCCAGTACTGACACAAAATAAAATAAATTAAAAAAAAATCAAAGTAGCATGAGAAGAGAATTGAGTTTCATTATAGGAAATTAAACCTTGTGATTACAAGAGTTATTTTTCTAATTTTTTTTTTTAAATCAGAGATCTTAGGGGCCAAATAAGGAGCAAACCCTATTATGCACGTACATGATTTATGAAGACCATCAGCATCCAGCGTCTGCTGTGCTGTTTTACACTATGTGGATTGTGGTCTCCCAGAGAAGTGGGAAATAAGTTTGTGTGGAGAAATCAACGGAAGTCGCCGGGCCCTGGACAGGGACATAAAACACAATTCCGATCCCACTGTGTTTCCTCCCCTGAGAGGAAATAGAGAAGGCGTTGGGGGACAGAGAGATCCACCAGCCCTGAAGCGGGACCCAGACGTACACATCCCCGTGAAAGCAACAATCCTATCACAGCCTCTAGCCAGGGACAACCGGATCTTGCCGGACGGCCCAAAGAAGTAGGACAACCGAAATCCATGTTACAGTGTTTTGATAAGGGTGTGTGTGTGTGGGGGGGGGGGTTCCCTTTGGGAATCTTGGGGGGAGGAGAAGGAGGGGGGGAAGGAGAGAGAGAATCGGGAGGCACTAAGGACACAGACTGTCCATATAAAAGTTCCAGAACATGAGAGAGAACATGGGGGAAGAGACTCAGGCGGCACTGAGGTTGCAGAGGATCCACAGAAAGGTCCCAGAGAGCCCTTCCCACCCCGCCCTGGGGCGCAGGCGGCCCGGGCGCACGGCACGCGCTCCCCGCGGTCTGGGCTGGGTCGCAGCACCCAGCACCCAGCACCCAGCACTTACTGAGGCGGCCCGACTTTGCTCTCCCTCTTCCCGAGCACCTTCGCAGGCTTCGTGTCGTCCACTTCTTGCTGTAGTTCAGTCATCAGGGATCGGGGCCGCGTCGGCACACCGGGACTCCTCGCCGCTCGGCTGCCAGCCTCCGGGGCTCAGGCACCGGGCGGCCCCGCACCGCGCCTCGCCTCGCCGCGCCCCCCGCAGCGCCCTCCCCGCGCGCCGCCGCCGCCGCCGGCCGCCCCCGCGCGCATCCGGGCCGGGCCCGGCCGCCAACCTGGACACGTCCGGGACCACGCGATTGGTCCCGGCTCAGGGACAGGGCGGGCGGCAGCGAGCGACAGCCGTCTCCTCCAATTGGAGAGGCCGAGGGCGGGACAAGGGAAACCTGTGGAACTCGTCTCTCTGACGGGCGAAGCTCATTGGCTGAGCAGGTGACACATTTGCCTAACTAGGCATAAAGTTGGCGGCTCCCGGCGCGCTGGGTTTTCTACGTCGTCTTTTTTCCCCTTTAGCTTCTTCTCTATCGGTAATGAGGAGAATGAAAGAGAAATGCACGGGCTGTAGAGACAGGCAGTGGACCAGGCCGAGTGGGCCAGCCGGCGCCAGGCTGACCGGGCCGGGCTGGGCGTTGCTTCAGGAAGGACTGTGCCTCCACACACCAGCACTTGTCCTCCTTAGGTACTTGGATTCATTTACTTAGTTACACGGCGTCGGGGCTTGCACGCAGGGCGCGGATGGTGTTTCTCAGCTTCTCCGCTCAGGGCTGGCCCTCTACCCACTGGAGCCGCAGCTCCAGAAGAAGTCGTCTCAGGGACTCTTCTTCCGGGCAGGCTGGTTTCGAACCGCCCATCTTCAGATCTCAGCCTCCTGAGCAGCCAGGATTGCCGGAGCGAGCCACCGGCGCCTTGCGGTTCCTCCGATCGCGAATGCGGGAACCGCAGGGGTCACCGGGGTGGCGGGCGGCGCCTTGGCGACCAGCCCGGCCTTCTCCCCCGGATTCACACTGCGCAGCCTGGGTAGACAAGGAATGCCCTTTCTTGCTGGCCTTTTGACGACCTTTTGACTTCCTGGATCCTTGTTAAGTTTGGCATCCGAAACATCCATCCATTCCGTCCACACATTCTTTTTGTGAAAGTTCAGTAACTTTTATCAGAATGAAGTAGGGAGAATCCGGGAAGACACCAGAGACACATTCTCCGCTCCCAGTACAAGACACAGGAGTAAGGCAGGCCCAGATAACAAAATTTGAGAACCGTCTTGTTCCAGGCAGAGTTCTAAATAATGACTTGTGACAGCAAATAACATTCGTTTGGATGGTTTTCCGGTTTGCTAGAGCTGAGAGTAAGCCTAACTGATAAAAGACCTTGTTGGAAACCTAACCTTAAAACAGTTACAACAAAATGGTGAGACAAAGGACAGAACCAATGCAACAGAGCAGAGATACTCACAAGATAATACATTGGAAATGAACTTTACAACTTGGGGGGGGGGGAGTGGGAGAAAAACAAGGGGGGAGCTAATAATATTTGCCAAGAAATGTACTCACTCCCTTACATAAGTCACTGTAATTCCTCTGCACCTCACCTTGACAATAAAATTAAATTAAAAAATGGAAGAAATGACTAAAGGTGCTCTGAGGCTCTAAGTTCTTTCGTTTTAATTAGTTATATTAGCTATAGAGGTTTTAAACTCATGCCCTCCTGCTTACTATTACTTATCAGAGACACTTTTACCACTTGGGACACAACCGAAACAATTTTTGTTTTAGCTATTGTTATTTATTTATTTTGACAGTACTAGAGTTTGAAATCAGGGCCATAACGGTGCACAACCCCTTGCACCCTGCCTCCAGCCCTTAAATGAGTGTTAAATTTAGGAACAAGACTAAGAATATACACCCCTAGTCTATATTATTTATGTGATGTGATGCAGTGTGGTGCTGTGGTGTCTATATTTGTATACATGTGCTCTCAACTTCTGTGTAGTGACTCCTCAGACCTCTGGAACTTTCTGTGCCTCTGCTACTGAGCTCACACTCCCCTGACTTTTTTTCCCCTCAAAGAAATGTTTTAATTGTGGTAAAATATACATACAAAACACACATTTTAAACCAGTGTAGTATACAACATAGTGCATTAAACATATCCATAATGTTAAACAATTACTATCACTATGCTCCATTTTTTAATCATCTCCGCCATAAACTCTCATCAAGCAATGGCTTCCATTAAATTAAGTAACCATGCTCCTTCTGCCTTGTCCTGATCCCTTGTAATCTTCTTTCTACTCTGTATGTAGGAACGTGTCTATTCCATGTGACTCATGTTAAGTGGAATCGTCCAATGTTTTTCCTGCTGTGTCTGATTTCTCTCTCTCAGCATAATATTTTCAGTGTCCATCCCTGTTGTTGGCATATATAAAATTTTCATTTTATGGTTTGGTTAAATAATATATTGTTATTGCGGATAGTACATATACCATATTTGATTTATCTATTTATCTATTGATGGACATTCAAATTATTTCTACCTTGTGTCTACTGTGAATAATGCTCAAATGAATATTATTTATTTAAATTGCTCTTAAATTTATTTAAATTATTATTATTTATTTAAATTGCTCTTCGATTCCCTGCTTTCAATTCTCGATATGTAGTTAAGAGTACTTCGGCTGGGTTATATTGAATTTCCATAGTTAGCCTTTTATAAAACCATAGTCAGGCCTCTTTTGATGCCTGATAAAAGAGCTGGCCAGAGTGACTCAGACTGCTCCATATCTTGAAGCTCATGCTTTAGTGTCTGGAAGGACATCAATGGCACAGGCCAAAGCGGAAAAAGCACAGAAGATGTGGTAGAAAGGAGGGTGTTTGCAGGGAAAATAGCTAAATGTAAAGTATATACTTTTACCTAGTTGCTTCAGTTTAAAAGACATTGCCAAACAATTGCCTAATTTGTTTATATTTGGGGTTATTATTACAATAAAATAGAGTACAGTGTTTAAGAGATAGCAGCAATCAAATGGTAAGAATAGTTTGTGGTGTAACCAAATACAGACAGAGAATTATTTTGGAAGGCTCTTTGATTTTGTGCCAAAAAGAAACACATTTCTTCTTTCAGGCCTCAGGGAATCTATTTTTTTTTTTAATATCAAAGAACAGTTTTAGCTGATAGTTTTTCTAGTTTCTGACATACTTTTGGTCAGATGAAAACTCTTTTCAGAAGTAGAAGCATCTATTCAAATAGCTTAGAATATTTGCCAAATGCTCGGGCTGTTTTGTTTTTAATATTGATCAGATACACAGTACATCTATCCACAGGCTCAAAGGCAGAGTTCAAATAGTGAGTTTGGAAATGTGCGTGGAGATCTGGGGCTGCTGCTTATAGACAGAGTTGCCTAATCCATAATCCATGCCAGGGTGTGTATTTATTAGTCAATAAAAGAGTGCCTTAAGTATCTGCATATGCCTGTCATTTTATGCATATTGTCTCATGGTATGTTTTGGAAAATGTTGATGACTTTATCAAGATGAAGCATGGAAGCTTTGTCATAATTTAACTATGTGTGGTATTCATAATGAAACAATGCCAGGAGCACTGGTCAGACTAATCCTGTTCTGAATTAAGGTCAATTATCCAAAGGAGGAAATGGGAAGAAATGAAAAGAGTTTAAAAGAGAGCTTTACAGTAACACTGAAGAACTTGATCCTTTTCTTCTTCCCTTCTTACTCCTTCCTCTCCATGCCCCCACCTGCTTCTGCATTCTCTTCTTTTTCCTCTTTTTTTGGGGGTGCTGGTGGTGGTGGTACCAGGGTTTGAACTCATGCTTGCCAGGCAGGAGATCTATGATGTGAACCATGCCACCCAAGCTCTTAATTTGTATTTGGGGAAAGGATTGAATACTACACACTAAACAAAATTTAAAAAAATCAAATCCCTGTCATTTCTTAGAGAGGGACCTGAGTTTCAGGGAGAGTTCAGGACTTGGTCAAAATTCAAGTGGTTTCAACAGGATGAAGACCCAGATTTCCTGGCCTCCAGTGAAGTATTTACAGAGTCATATGAGAGAACAGCGGATACATTTGATTAATGGCAGGACACATGCCTTCTAAGAGAACGTGTTGAGGAAAAGCTCAGTTGGGTGTCTATAGGTGTGAATACAGTTTAAATTCCCATGAAGAAGCATTTGAATCTAGAACTATGTTGGTGGCTACATTTTGCAGTTTTGAAAATATGATGGCTCAAAGCCTCGTTTATGATCACACATGGGTCCATGGGTTCAGTTGGCTCGGCTGGGGCCTGTCACTTATAGTCTGTTATCAGTTATAGTCAGAGCTCAGAGTTGGAGTCATTTTGAAGACTCAACCGAGCCAAACGTACATGATGCTTTGTACTTCTGTGTGTGGAGCTTTGGCTTATATAGCTAGAGGGGCTAGCCTAGCTGGGCATTACTCTCTCCATGTGGCACCTCCATATGACTAGCTCTGGCGTCTTATGGAATGGTGAGCTAAGTACAGTTAGACTTGTATTTTTCTTGTTGGGGCCTTGCTCTAGATCATATGTCTTGCTATACCAAGGTGTGATCTGTAAGGCTTCTCATGAGATAATATCAGAGGCCATGTGGCTTTATCTGGGCTACATTCCCACCATCAAAGGTGATCCCCAGGGCCAGCCCACATTCAGAGTGATTAAACCACACAAGATGTAAGGACCAGGAGGTATAGCTTACTAGGGACCACCTTTGAAAAACAGCTACCATAGTGCAGAGAATAGATTGGTCCTGATAGCCATAGACTTCATCATTGAGCAGGTGGGTAAATGGACATTTCTAATAGTCCTGTATAGAATTAAACAAAGCAGGCAGAGTCTATCTTGTAGCTCTTATATTTTAGTGGGAGAAGCCAAAATTTGCAAAGTAAAACCAACGCTCTGCATTTGCAGATTCTGCAGCCTCAGATTCAACCATCTGACTAAACCATCTGACTAAAAATTATGTAGTTTGGTTTTGTTTTTTTTGTACTGGACAAGTACAGGCTTTCTTTTCTTGTCATTATTTCCTAAACAATATAGAAATATAGCAACTACTTATGTGATATTGGGTATTTTAAGTCATCTAGAGATGTTTTTAGTTTAAAGTATACAACAGGATGTGGGCAGGCTGTCTGCAAGTACTACACATTTCATATAAAGGGCT